ATGTATGTTCACTAAGTAAATATTATGTAAATAAACCCTACACTTCTCGCCATAAATGTAATCAAAACCCATTTAAATGCAGAAACTGATGAAATTATTGATTTTCCCACTAAAAGTTAGAGAAATCTCAGCCATGTTTATACCAAAACGTTTCAGTTTCTCATTATCTTGAAAAATCTTTGCAAGAAACGAACAAGCAAGTGAATATGTACATTCCCTGAGTAAATATTCTGGCAACAAACTATACATTTCTCACTAGAAATATAATCAAAACTAATTTTAATGCAAAAACAAACTCAGGTTATTAATCTTTCCACAAAAAAATGAGCGAATGTCGGCCATCTATATATATTTTTTTCTTCTCCCAGCTGGAATCTTGAAAGTCAGGTGACTAGGACGTAAAACAATAGAAAGCGTATAGGCAGAAGAAATGTAACAGTACCACAAAAAAATGGCCATTAATGTACCTCCACTACGTTTTACAGTGTGGACCAACGTAGTGGGGGTACATTTTCCCATGAGACTGGGTTGCCTGCAAATGACCTGTGGCTGCAGTCTGGTGGGGGGATCCTGGGGGAGTTCCCTGGCACTTGGGATCAAGTGGCCGATGCGCTGTACTTGGCATAGGTGAGAAGGCAACCTGGGTTGTGATGGCATTAGAGGACCATATGAAAGTGGGGGCCTGAAACAACTGTGACTGGTTTGGGCAGGGTGTGCTCTTCTCCAGTTTGGCTACCTGCTCTGTGTTAGAGTGATAATTATAAAATTATTGTGTGGACATATGAAACATTGAAACAAAGAAGATGCTACATTTCTATCCTGTGATTCAACCAGGAGGGTCATAAACTTTTATGACCTCCAGTAGGTCATGAGGCAGAATCACACGGTTGTGTGACTTCCATCCAGCCAGATGGTCATCTTATGACCTGCATCCTCCCAGATAATCATTACTGGGTCTTCTGTTTAAGGCCCGCCCTATGATGTTGTAAACTGTTAATAAAAGGCTTTGCTATGAAGGGTTCTGTGTGAGAAGGTGCTGGTTTCTGAGCCAGCAGCTTTTCTCCCCTTTGCAGAGGTTCACTTTTCAAAACCCTGTCTCTGTTTGATCATTTCCTCCTAATCTTTTAAACTCACATTTCTCTGGATTAAAACCCAACACTCTGGCATCTGTGGAGGCGGGTGTGCAGTTTATGGGGGGGATGCCTCATGGGGAGCTGCGGCCAGCACCCTTAGCTGGGTTATCGCTTCTGGGGGTGGGCCTGGGGTTGTGTTTTTGGCTAGTCCTTGGCTACAATGCTGCTGTCCTCCCCATGGTGTTGCCCGATCCCTCTATTTATTTTTTGCCTTTTCCCACTGGGGCGATTAGTCCCCAGACCTAAATAGTTTATGCATGAGGTGTGTAAGAATATGTTTAGTTTCTGCTCCCCTTTTCTGATGCTCACCACCATCTACAGGTGCTTTTGTCTGCTGGCGTACTGATGGGACTCCAGGTTCGGTTTGAGAACTTCAGTGGGAACTGTCTCATTCCTGGTGGCTGCTAGGACGGGCCTGATCATGCTTGCCCTTTGGGGTCTCCACAAGGGGTGGTGCATCCTCGGACTCTGGGGACATCTGGGATCTACCTTGGGTGTGACCGGCTGCCAGAGGAGCTCATGTGCACGGTGCCGCGGGCTCGTGGGACCTCGGCACTATTGCACCTGGGGTTGTGCTCCTCAGGAACCTGGCCCCTTTCAGGTTTGGCCCCCACTGGGTTTGGGCTCAAGGTCTGGCCTTCTCTGGTGGGCACAGCCATCTCTATGTCTGCCCTCCTTGTGTCCCAGTAATCTGGGCTGCTTCTGGATACCTGGGACCAGGATCTCCTCTTTATCAGTCCTGGGTCCTGTAGGGCAAGTCTGGGGCCACCCACACATCCTATTAAGCATGTTTTCTGCCATGTTAACTGCCTTGTGAATATTGATAGACTCCTTTTTACTATTTCTTGTTCCAGGACTTGAAAACAATTTTCCTATCCAAAAACCTTCCGTGTAATTCACTCAGATTCAGTTAAACAGGTCTGCTGAATATAAGATATATCTACTTTACAGGTATGTGCCAAGTGGGGTTGCGACGGGTGCTGGTGCCTATCTCCAGCAGTCAATGGGCGAGAGGCGGGGTATACCATGGGCAGGTCGCCAGTCCATCACATGGCGCATGAAAATATGTCAAAATCTTTTTTTTTCTTTAACATTTTTCACACCCTTTACATTCCAGCTGGTCAACTTTAAGTCAGTTGTACCATCTGTCATGTTTATTATATCTGCATACAAAAATAAAAATGAAAGACGGTCGGTTGTCACATGAAATTAACAATACAGTGATATACTAAATCCTAAAACACAAGAACAGAACATGAATGCACCCCTTAGAACAAGGAACGGGTGAAAAACAAAACAAAAAGCAAGGCACAACCATGCAAAAAAAAATTGGAAATCTTCCTGTGATTAAGGGCCCTCAACGTTGTGACCTCTCGCCAACTGAATATTGCATCCTAGTGAATATTCAGAATCTAACTTAAATGAATATAAAAAACAGTACTTATACCCTTACCATAGAGTAAGGGGCTGCTTACTTATTTATGTTACATAAATGTGTTGATTTTATGAAGTTGCCAAAAAAGGTACCTTTATCATCTGAAAATTTAGCTAGAATTTTCTATTCTGCTTTTTTTTGTCCTTCTCTCCTGTTCTCCTCCTCCATAGAAATAATTTTCTGTTCACTGATCATTGATCATTCAGGAATTTCCTTGCAAAAAAACAAAATTATGCAGTGCGATGTGAATCTATGGCAAATTCCGTTATGTTTTATTTTAAGAATTGTAGGGAAATTAAGTGCATATGCCACCTTTTTCTCTCTCAATGCAGCTTTGACTTTGTTAAAAAGATGTGCAGCATTCCATTGTTTCCCTCAAGTAAGCGGGAAAAAACATGATAATCCCTGCCAAAAGATCTGACCTTTCTCCCTGGAAGCACAGAGAATTGTTTTCTTTGTCTCATGGGCCATGGGCGCCCTCTCTCTCTGGGTGCTACTAGGCGCACCCACTCGATGTACGCACTGTATCTCCAGCTTTCACATTGAGGTGCCCTGAATGAGGTGCCCAGCATCACTGGAAGCTTGTGCTGCAGGAACTTTATAATGTCAGTCCCGTCCTTGTACTCTGACAGGCCCATAATTTTGATATTACAGCGTCTTCCACTATTGTCTACATTTTTTAAGTGGTCTCTAACTCTATCTAATTCCTCATGAAAAACGGACCCGCTCAGTCTCTGATAATCCTCTCCTTTCTTCCAGAGCAACCGCTCTCTCCTCCAAGTTATCCACACGTGATATCAGTGCTCCAAACTTGGCCTCAATCTCCCCTATTGATGATTTAATATCGCTCATGTCTTTTTTTATGCATTCGAGTCACATATTGCCTGTATCTGAGTGGCCAGAAACTCTAGAGTCTATCTCTTCAGCCTAGGATGTGGCATTTGGTGCAGCATTTGATATAGCGTTAACATTGGACTGCTCAGGCTCACGCTGGGCATTGCTAATGTACTTATCCATCTTCTTATTAGCTTTAGCCTGTCACTTGAACACGGGATCGGGACGTTGACCAACACCACGTCCAAGCATTGATATTTCAATTCAGTTAAACTTCGAAAATGCCGGTCATAGCAAAAATACAGTACATTCAACAAAAATTTGCAGAATAAAGTATCGATTTCAATATATTGTGCTTGTGGTCAAGGAACCACTTTTCAAACAGCTGTCTTTGCCAAGAGCACAAGCAATGTCCTCCCATCTTGGTTTTTTATTATTTATATTCAACAGTTGTGTCCTCCTTGGTCCTCCCCAACTAAATCCACTTTGACTCCAACAACAGCTGCTTAAGTGTCCTTACCATTTTGCAATGCTGTAATTAGGAGGTAAGAAACAATTTGAAATTCAGGATAAAAATATAAAAGGAATTTTTGGGCTTTCTTCAGATCCTGACCACAGAATATGGATACTTGGAGATGTTATTTTGTTGAAATTGAATCTTTACAAGAAATACTTTGTTTAGTTAGCATCGACTGCAGCGAAAAAATTTATACTTACAAAATGGAAATCTACAGAGCCTCCAAACAAGAAACAAGGGATCAACGAGCTGTTGTCATACTGTACTCCTGAAAAAAATTCTCCATTCGGTACGTGGAACATTGGCTAAATTTGACCAGATATGGAGTTCCTTCTTGGACATTTTAACCAGATCAGACCTGAGAGACTGATCAACATTGATCAGTCTCTTCACTGTGTTTAAGTTACTCCAATGTTTTTGTTGTGCTTTTCTTTTCTCTTAATTCTGACCTTTTAAAAATATGGTTAATACTACCACAGTGTACGATGTGTTGCTACATGGAGAGAATGTTTTTTTTTTTTTTTTTTTTTTCTTTGGGTTTCAAAAATAAGAAAAACACCATTGTGCATTGAATGTAGATTTTATCTGGACATATGTTTTGAATAAATATATATCTGTACACAAAAAAAAATTATATATATATATATATATATATATATATATATATATATATATATATATATATATATATATATATATATATAGAGAGAGAGAGAGAGAGAGAGAGAGAGAGAGAGAGAGAGAGAGAGATATTCCACACTTAAAACACAAACCAAAAAAAAAAATAATCTTTTGTTGAACCCAAAACTATCAATGTAAATGATAAGTATGCTTCTATCTTTTATATCTTCTAACGTTTGTTTTGAAATGGAAACTGAAAATTTAACACAAGCAAAAGGTTAAGTATTGCATCAAAAAAGGGCCAAATTGACAACAAGGGTACATATCAGTGCTTGGAGAAATCTGTGATGCATGTATGAGGTCCCTGGAAAGAAGGACAACAGAGATTAACCATTCCTAATGACTAAATATTTGTGTGTCAGAGGAAGAAAGGGAAACACATCCACAAAGGTGTTCCAGTTTAAATTCTGTCACTGCAGAAACTCTCCTCCAGAACCTTAGATACAAGCCCTTTACTGTGATGTCAGATAAAGATGATCTGTGCTTTCCTCAGCATCTAAACATGTCTTGCAAGAAACCAAGACTTTCAGGGGTGACAGTTTTATTTCTGCAGTTTCTACTGACCCTCACTTCTATACTCACTGTAGTTCTAAATCTGCTGGTCATCATCTCAGTCACTCACTACAGGCAAAGAAAAAATCATATTGCTTTTCAATATTGGATACAAATAGAGAAAAAATGTATTGTTTATGTGAACAGGTTTTTAGATGCTTAAATTCGATGTGATGCTTAAAATTTTTAACTTTGCTCATTTCTCTGCAGGCAGCTTCACAGAGCCAACAACTTCCGGCTTCTGTCTCTCGCAGTTGCAGACTTCTTGATAGGTCTTGTTTTTATTCCAGGTGAAATGCTTAAACTAACAACTTGTTGGTTTTTTGGTGATCTCATGTGCTTATTGTATTCATACATCCTTGTTGTTATTATCTGTGCCTCAGTTGGAAATATAGTACTGATATCTGTAGACCGCTATGTGGCTATTTGTTACCCACTGCAGTACCGCAGGAGAATTACTATCTCAAAAGTACGAGTATGCATCAGTGTCTGCTGGTTCTATTCAGCTTTCTACAGCATGTTCTTTGTAAAGGATGGTTTAAGTCAGATTTCTGCTTCCTGTTATGGAGAATGTTTGATTTTCATAGCATATTCTGCTATAGTTGTTGATCTTTTCTTAACCTTTCTTATTCCAATTTCTGTAACCACACTAATGTACATTAGAGTATTTCTGGTGGTTGTTTTTCAGGCTCGAGCTATCCGCTCCCACACTGCTGCACCACAACAAGGTCCAGTGACAGCAAAAAAGTCTGAATTGAAAGCTGCCAGGACCATTGGTTTAATAGTGCTTGTGTTTTTCATGTGTTTCTGTCCTTTTTACTGTGCTTCTTTAGCAGGTGACATTTCATTTAATACATCTATCACTGTTCTGTGTATTTTCTGTATTAACTCATGCTTCAACCCTATTATCTATGCCATCTTCTATCCCTGGTTTAGAAAAGCAATTAAACAGATTGTGACATTAAACATATTGCAGCCTGGATCCAGCAAGGCAAATATATTATAGAAAAAAGGAAACTGTATCAAAACAAGTCAAACATATTTTCATTATGTGGTTAAGCAGCAGTTTACTAACCTGAATTTTACTGATATTGTTAAGGTTCTTTTTTTTGGTCTTAATGTGACAGAAATATCTTCTTAAAAATATAGGTTACAAAATATCAACAGAAATGACCCTAGACCATTTCAATTGGGTACCAGAACCTTTAAATTGTTTTCCAATACTTAATACAACTGAAACCCAGCTGGTAACTGACTAACGTTAACAACAGTACTTCACCATGTAAGTTGGTTTCAAAGTGTTTGCAAAATGTTTTGTTTTAATATCTGTACTCCAAGGTGTATCCAAAAAAACAAAACTTTTGCCCTAACTGTGCTTGCTGCTTTTATTTTTCCATTTTTGTCCTCAGAATCCCACATCCATTGTGAAATTAGCTTGTCAGAACAAACAGTCTTTTTAAAATGTCAAATAGGCTTGGAAACAGCAAAACCTGTTGATAAAAAGAGGAAAAAATAAAGGTTAGATAATTGCTATTTGCCATCAAAAGAATATTATGCATGTAGCATGAAAAATATAACAAAAACATGGTTTTCTCTCCCCACTTCATATTTATTTTCATTGCCAGAGTCTGTAAACCAAAGGTATATATTCTGTTTATAGAAAATATAGATATCAAAAGAGCCTGCAAAGAGACATAGTGGGTGGGGGGATTGAAAGAGCAGATCTCTTAGTTGTCACAACTGATTTTTTTTTTCTCTCTCAATTTTTTTTTTTTTAATGGAGGACCAATCCGACCATAATTAAATATAAATACAGAAATAAATAAACATTTTTTTATTTCTGTATTTTTAGGTATGGCAGGATTGGTCGTCCATACTCCTTTTCTCTGTTGATTAGGTGAATTATAACCCTGCTATCACTGCATGAAAAGTGAGATTTTCGTCCCCGTAAACTCCCGCAGATCTGCCTGATTTTCGTCAGTTTCCGACAATTTGCAACCCGTGCTTGTCCGCGTTTGTCGTGCCACAAATTGTCGGAAACGTACCATGACGTATGTGGAGAGCGATCAGCTGTACTAATGGCCCTAATTAGCATATGAATGCAGCAAACCCGCGCGGCTGGCCAGGTCTGGCTTGAATAACCTTCTCAGTATTGGCTGAAACCACTATTCTCAAACAAATGAAATCGCTCGTGATTGGCAGCAAAACCACACGTGGCCACGCCAGGCTTTAATTTTCTTACTGAGTATTGGACGGAACCACTTCTTTTTAAACAAGTAATTTATTCATTCATATATTTATTCATTCATATATTTATTCATTCATATATTTATTCATTCATATGGTGTGTATTTATGTTATCCTACACTACTGCACAATTATTAGGCTACCATCAAGGACATGAATGAATTTATACAGGAAATGAACATTTGCCAGGAAGCTGTTTATGCAAAGAAAGAGCTTTATTAAAACACACACAACTATATACAACGCGTATCCAAACACATGCGTTTCTAAAAATTACAAGTCCGTGAATGGTCCGTTTGCTTCCTCGGGTTGGAGGTAACTGGCAGCATTCCCTCCGAGGCAGGTCCGATGCGCAGACGCCTACTGTGCGTGGCCCTGTACTTCGGCATCGCTTCTAACCGGGACTGCAGCTTAACACAGAGTTCAGTGAGATCCGGCCTACGAAATGGCGGCGACCGCACAATCCATCCAGAGACACCGCCGAGGAAGGCGGACTTCCAGAGTTCCACTTCCTCATCTGCTAGCACACTCTGCCTCGCTTTCAGCAGCTGAAAAAAAAAAACAATGAATCAGCGCACTGCGTATGGACACAACACATCTATTAATGCACCTGAAAAATAGTCACCAAATAAAGTCTTACCCTCTTTCTTCTGGCCCGACTCCGAGCAGATAGCCTCAGCATGCAGCGTGTTGGCTGGCAGCGTATATCTGAAGCTCCTGCGTACCGTCTGAAAATACGTCTTACAGGCAGCTGGAAAACAATTAAATGAGAGTGGTATAAATAAAAAATCAAACGCAAGTCACAGTAACAAGGAAGGAGAAAACATTAAAACAAGTCACTTACACACAATGTCGTCTTTATCAACATCGTGCAAATCTGGACTTGCTGATTATGGCTCCGAGCAAATAGGAGGTCTGTGAAAACAAAATGTAAAAGCTATGATCGGTATCTATCCGTATCCATTGCCTTTTACCGCAGAATGAAAGCATATTCTTTAAATCTTACCCTTGCTCCGGTTCATAGCGCCTGCAATTAGTCTCCGAGTTGTTAAGACGGCGTACTGCTTCCTGTGAATCACAAAAAATACACTTTAATAAAGCTTGTTCTTGCAAGGCTAGGCTAGATAGGCTAATAGCTAGGCTGCTATTAGCCGGTAGCTTAGGCTAGGCTGCTTTTAGCTTAGCAGGCAGTAATCGAACATATATTTACCGCTAGCATCTCTTCTTTGAGTTCGTCTTGTTCGATGCAGAGTCGCCATCGCGTCCAAGAGGAGTTTTACCCCGAAATCCCCCATTCTCCGCTCCTGACCGCCTGCACAAAGCAAAGCATCCATCCTCCACTGTGGCTGCACACCGTGCGCCGCTCTGAGTTTCTTGGAGATCGTACAGAGCATGCGCGAGATGAACCAGGGTGTCCGCGGTAAATAATTAAAAAATCATTCTTTTTTTTTTTTTTAAATCAAGGCCTTAATTGACACTAAAATTATTTAAATATGTTTATCGAAGTATTTATAATTCTTTAATAAAAAATGCTTATAAAAACAATTTCGTCAGATATATTATATCGCTCCAGGCGGAGAAAAAGCTAGAGGATATATATATACGTATATATTTGTGTGTGTGTGTGTGTGTTTACATACATACAGGAGTCATGGAACTGTGCTTACAGCTCCTTCATATTTCATGTACACTAATAACTTGTGTACATGGTTCTTGTTGATGGCATTAAAATCATTTCTAATAGCATTTAAATAGCATTAAATTAGAGTCACTCATTCCTGTATGAACCCTGTGAGCGCTTAATTTAATATGACATATAAAAAAAAATCCCACCATCATCCAGCACATGTTCAGTTTCTGCCCAAATATATATTTATATTTTTGTAGATTTTTGTAACGGGGATAAGGATAATTCAAAACTGCTTTTTTTTTTTTTTATGAACTTGTTCACTACTTCCAAACTCAGCATCTCTTTTCATTCCTGTAATTAGAAGTTTCTTTTGAATGAATTTGATTAAAATTTAAGTCCCTCGGTATAAAATAAATATTTTGATGGAGATGAGAAATCTGCTTCCTCGTTGGTGAATAACCAATAGTTTTGGATCCAATCATTTAAATAAACGGTGTTAGTTTTTTTTTTTTTTATATATATATAAGAATTGTGCTATAATTTCTAGTCACCGATCTGTTGCTGCTATATTTTAATTTGACGAACCGGAATTTGTCGATGTTCTTTTTCCTGTTTGGTGCGATTGCAATTGCGGATCTTGACCTGGCCGGACCTTATGACCACAGTGTACCAATCTTCTGATGGCTACTTCCAACAGGATAATGCGCCATGTTATAAAGTGAATCATCTCAGACTCATTTCTTGAAACTTTTCCACTTAAGTAATTGTGAATTGAGCATATTGAAAGACAACATTTTATTTTTTATCTTAAATGCAATTTGGTTTTTTTTATAATTACTGCTCTAAATGTATTGCTCTGTCAGCTAAAGATCTGTTTTGGTCTCTATACTTTAATTAAATAAATCAATTCAAGCTAAAATGTAAGAGGCTACAGTATACTGAGCCTGATCTCTTTGTATTCTTACCTAGTAAAACCCCCCCTGCAACCCTGATTTGCATTTGTATAGCTCACAGCATGATCATTTACATGTTAAAGCCTCCCCTAGAATTCCATGGGGGGGAGGCATGGGGGGAACACTGCCTAAGAGAGTCCACGTCAATTTCTGACAATTTACGGGAGTTTTCGGCGAAGCCTGCAAATTGTCGTAAACTGCCGCTAACCTGAAGTTCCACGACAATCTACAGTGCCGCATATTGACGAAAATCCCACTTTTCATGCAGTGTATGTTGTCTGTCAGGACAAGGAACACTGTAGTCTCATACTTCTTAAGTTTGATATTTCATTTTTTAAATTCAACTGTAATAATTTTCCTTGTATTGTTTTTTTCTTTATTTTGTAGCAGTTAGATACAGTACATGTTATAAAAATGAAATAAAAATGGAACTTTTGCTGCTTGATGCGTCACATCACATCACATAACATCTGGGAGCTGGCAGGGAGAAAGACACATTGCTGATGATAAAGATCACTCTGATCACTCCTCTGAAACAGTTTATTAACTCCTAAATTAATTTAAAATGCCAAAATCTGCCGGCAAAACAGATTCACTTTTATACTTAGACTTAGACAGATTTATTTGTCATTTTGTTTAGACAAGTGTAAAACGAAAAGAAATTTCGTTTAGAACAGCTCTCTGGACAATTTCATTTTTTTTTACAGTGCAGCTTAAAAAGAGAGTAAAAAATATATAAAAACTGTAATATAAACACATGACTGTAAATTTACATTTCTAACATTTTATTTTTTTATAGATATATATATAATGATAAAATATAATAAATATAATAAAATACAATACAATAACCCATTTTACAAAACATTAAAGGAATAGTACACCCAAAACATGATTAGCCTTCATTTTCTACTCACCCCCATGCTGAACAACACTCTGGAGTACTTTTTTGATATCTCAAATGCATCTGGAGATCTGGGAGGCTTCTTGCTGTCTGCTGACATTCAAATAATGGAGGTCTATGGCGCCCGAGGCAGAAAGGTCCATAAAAGTCCACAAAAAACGTTTCAATATTCCTCCATACTGCTCGTCCAATGTATTCCAAGTTTCCTGAGCGGGTAGCATCCAGAATTTACTCGAAACAAAGTCATTTAGAGTGTTTTTAGAGCATAAACAGTAGTGTATAGGATTTCCTGAAAGCGCGCACATGCGCGATCACGATGCTACGGAAGCCGGCAGACCAAACCAGCGCGTTCAGCTCGGCAAAGAACTCATGCTCTTCCTCAACACTGAAGTCCTCAAACATTTTTCTTTCGTTGTTTCTTTCTTTGCACAGGTAAACGGCACATTTCTTCCTCTACGCTTGCATTATTGGAAGAGCAGACGCTGAATG